TCATTAGTTCCTCATTAGTTCCCCAGTAACTACTCTAATTTTGTGTAGCTTAGTTCCTCAGTAACTACTCATTCGTTCCTCATTAGTTCCTCATTAGTTCATCAGTAACTACTCTAATTTTGTGTAGCTTATTGTAAAGTGTTACCCATAAATCATACAGAGAGGCAATCTGGAAAGGAAACAAGACAGACTGTGTCCTCATTCCCCTGCTTTACCTGCATTATACAGGTCACATATTTGTCACTGTGGTCTCCCAGCCCTGGGATCTTTTGGTGCTCCATCTTCTTGATGTTACTGTCAGCTAGGATTGGCAAATCTATCTCAACTCTTCTCTTCTTTTCTGCTCCTAGTCAACCACAGTCAACATCTGCTGGCTGATGGTCAACTCAGTTCTCAAGTTGTATCCATGGCCATATGTGCTTGGGGTGTTATGACTGGAAAAACACCTACTCATGAATCCATGAGTTTCAGATTTACACAGTGGTAGAGGAAATACTCTGATCTTTTACTTAACAAAAAGGGAGCAATACCACAGTTCAGCTGTATATGAATCATGGACTACTTATGGAAAACAAGTTTTTTATTCCACATCAAATTGGGCGAAATATCCTTAATCTTATCCTCTGTTAGGGATTTTGACACAGGATTACTCAAGAAGTACACAGTAAAAGTACTTCATATTATTCATGCACGTAGTCTAGGGAGTACTTAGTTCAGCGGTGTATGAATCACAGACTACTTATGGAAAATAAGTTTTTTATTCCACATCAAAGTTGGGCGAAATATCCTTGATCTTATCCTCTGTTAAGGATTTTGACACAGGATTACTCGAAAACTACACAGTAAAAGTACTTGATATTATTCATGCACGTAGTCTAGGAAGTACTTAGTTCAGCGGTATATGAATCATGGACTACTTATGGAAAACAAGTTTTTTATTCCACATCAAAGTTGGGCGAAATATCCTTAATCTTGTCATCTGTTAAGGACTTTGACAAAGGATTACTGGAAAACTACACAGTAAAAGTACTTCATATTATGCATGCACGTAGTCTAGGAAGTACTTAGTTCAGCGGTATATGAATCATGGACTACTTATGGAAAATAAGTGTTTTATTCTACGTCAAAGTTGGGCAAAATATCCTTCAACTTGTCCTCTGCAGTCTGACCCACAGTCACTACCAGCAGCTCTTCACAGCCGTTTCATTACGATTACCGTAAGTGTTAGTAGATTCGCGCACTAGAAAAAAACGTGCGGCTGATTTGACCAAGCAAAAGCGAACCACGGCTGGCTTGACCGCAGTTTCGAACTGATCTATAAGAAGACGCCTTTCAGAGAGGACAGGTACTTTACTTTGAAAGGATGCATATAAACTCTCTGATGTGACAGACAGGCCTACACTGACAGTATGTTGGGACCCAACAGACAGTAACTTTATAAAGGAAGAACAGATCATTTATTCCTGGAGCATTTGTGTCCCATAGAAACAATCAATCAATCAATCAGTCCCATTCAACATCTCCATCCACTCCTGTATTTAAATATAACTGATGCAGGCACACTGAAGTTTAAATTCACTTCACTCCTGTAGAAATACCAACCTTCCCTTTTTCTGTCATTGACTTTTATTTTGAAGATTATGACCAGAAGTGTCTGACTGCATGAACTCAGTCCTCCATTTTGTGTTAGTGAAGTTAACATGGAGCCTCTCGTCAGCTGCTTTCACTTTCGCTTCCACACAAAAACACTGACGTCTGTTAAAGCTGGAGACACAAACTGCTGATGAATGTATGAACTTTATAAATCAAGACAACAGAAGCAGTGTAGTTTATTTTGCATCATTAATAACCAGTTTGTTTTCATTTAAAGGACGACACTTTGCTTTCACAACAATTAAGACACAAAAATACTTATTTATTAACATGAGTTTAAAAAAATCACATCGTCTAATAATTAATACAAAAGTCACTCCGGTCAGTCTGAGTGTTACAGGCTCTACTTTAAACTCCAGTCAGACATGTCTGAGTGTTTCTGTAAAAAGATACAACACATGAAGCTAAACTGATTTGAACAATCCCTGTTTTCTGTAACGTCAGATGAACACAGTGCATCACATGTCAGGATACCAAAGACACCAGATTGTAAAGTTGAGTTTTAACTCAGTTTGGAGAGTGTGTAGAGTTGGACAGTGAAAGCATCAGCAGCTTTAAGAAGTGAATTTTAGCCTCTGAGTCTCATTAAACTGGGAAAGAAGTTCACTGAAGGAGTCAGTCGGCACCGTCTGCTCCACGACCTGACGGACTCCGCTCTCTAAAACCCGATAGTAGCGCTTCACCTCCTGCAGCTCAGCCTGCAGCCTCTCCTCCACCTTCTGACGCTCCTGTTGAGCTTCACTCAGCTTCTTCTGGTACTTTGACTCCACACGTTTGATTTCTTCCTCCACTTTCTTCTTGTAGAACTCTGTGAGCTCGGCCTCTCTCTGACGCAGCATCGTCACCACCTCCTGGTAGGTGTAGTTGGAGTAAAACTCTCCTCCGTTGGCACCAACCATCTCCTCCACCTTCTCCAGCAGATCCAGGACCTGTCCACGATCGTTGACTTTGACGTTGTTGAAGATGCGATACCTGTTTCCTGCCTTCCTCAGGACCTCCTGCAGCTCAGGTCCTGCCTCCTGCAGCGGTCTGAAGTCTGACGTGACTCTGTCTCCGTGTGTGAAGAGGATGATGGTGTACTTCCAGGCGTCCTCCCCAAAGATCTCCTCCACCTTCTTGACGGCGTCTCTTTCCTCTGCTGTGAAGGGCCCCAGCTTGATGACCAGCAGGATGGCGTGGGGCCCCGGGGCCGACATGTTGATGCATTTGGAGATCTCTCTCTTCACGGTGTGTTCAGCCTCAGAAGTGTCAAA